ACACACACACACACACGCATACATACACACACACACACACACGCATACATACACACACACACTCTCACACACACACTCACACACATACACACAAACAAACAAAACACACACACTCACACACATACACACTCATTCTCTCTCTCATCCTCTCTTTCACTCATCCTCTCTTTCACTCATCCTCTCTTTCACTCATCCTCTCTTTCACACGTTTCTATTCACATACACACATTATAATACCAGGCTTACATTTAAGGATATAATAAATCGAAACTCACTGTAAACAATAACAGTGCTTTAAGCTAGATACTTAATCAGTAACATGAATGTAATCCTATGATATTCTGTTATCGCATGTTTTAAAGGTGATAGGAATACCTATATTACAAGAAGATTTTAGTTTTAGTAGAGGTCTTACGGCGCTCACAACTGCATAATGTACAAGAAGATTAAGATGGTTGAAGTTAAATGGATGATAGTAAGAATGATCTTCTATATCTCTCTTTGTTACAGATCAGAAGTTATTTACTTCTTACTGACAAAACATGATTGGTCGGAACAAAGGATGCTGGTTGGCCAAAAAGATGAATTTGATTTTCCTATTTCAAGCGATTTTGTATGATTTATCGCGAAATGAGGGAATATGAACTTGTATGGAGTGCTATCCGTTTTAATCGATTCAGATTTACTTTGGTATTGAGATCTTGTATACGTAGTGTCCGGCCCAATAAAGATAGATAAATAGAACGTGTGTGTGTGTGTGTGTGTGTGTGTGTGTGTGTGTGTGTGTGTGTGTGTGTGTGAGAGAGAGAGAGAGAGAGAGAGAGAGAGAAAGAATGTTTAGTATGGCCGGATACACACTCTCACAAATCTATCCCACATTGTCATAATCTGTCAAAGACAAGATCTTTTAATTGGATATTGCTACTCCTTACGTTTTCAACGAAGTTCAGAAATCAAGAGCAAAGGCGAAGAGGTCTTGAATTTTCACAAAATCTTGTGATTAATTTTACATCTGCTAATTAATATGCTTATGGTAATCGTTGGGGTTTCATTGACGTAAGCTTAGCAATGACGTGCGGATAGAGCGATTTGTAGGGAGAAAATGGCCAAGGCAAGAGATATAAAAAAAGAAAGAAAGAAAGAAAGAAAGAAAGAAAGAGTGAGTGAGTGAGAGTAGAGAAGAGAAGAGAGAGTGAGAGAGAAAGAGAGAAAGAGAGTGAGTGAGAGAGAGAAGG